AATAATCAGGCATATTTCAATATAGAAAGCTTTTTTTAAAGGTGGTTTTTCTTCTATCATTAGTCGTTCCCTGTTTGATATTTAGAATATGCTCTTTAATGATATTTATTATAATTCAATGAAAACAAAGTTGTTTTGACATAGCTGCTCATTCTGGGGCATGAAAGATAAACTGAATAATATGTTACTAGTAAAACTGAAATAACTTTACATATATCATTAGAAAAATTCTCTACATAATTTACCTAAAATTACCTTTTGTGGATACTTGATGCCACACAGACTATTAAGCAAATTTTCTTTAAAAAATTCAAGTTAGTTGAATCTAGTTGAATTATTTGGCCATTGTACATAGCCTATAGTATTGTATTTGATATTAGTAAAAAGTTCATGCACTAGGTTTCAGAGGATGAACCAACCAATACCAAGAGTAAGATTAACTGAAGCAGAAGTGGTAACTGTAGAGATCCATGCCTTAGAGGGTGAGGGTATGATTCCTTTCCTCTTACATAACTTTAATAATAACATAACATAAAGGTAATAGTTTATAATAGTAACTCCATTATGGGATAACAAAGATGATTTGTATTGGAACAATCAATATGTCGGTGCCCTTCAATATAATAAAAACTTCTGATGGTTAGGAACGAAATCCAAATAATCTTTGTACCTTCCCCATAATGCTCAGCACAAATGCACATGAAAATCTCATGTGGTAAATGGTTACTGATTTAGAAAAGTACTAGAGACAATGTTTTCATTGAATTACCAACATACACACTCACATATATATTATTTATATATGTTTATGATATATATATACATATATTTTTATTTTATTATAAAATACCATACAACACAAGAACAAAATGCAACATCACAGCAGAATAAACCAGAGTACGTTTTACGCAGCCTCAGGTTGATTGTTTTCCTCTGAGGTTTTTAAGATGTGATATGTTAACAATAAAGTACAATATCCAGGACTGTTGTGAATGTCTTTTTTTCAGAAAAATATTATCTACCTCCTAATATCAAAGAAAAATTTCTGAAGTAAATAATGTATGTGTGTTCCCCGATTACATATTTTCTTAAAGCAAAGGGCCTCAAATTAACTATGTTGACTGCATGGATTTTTTTTTTTTTTTTTATTTTAGCTGTCCACCTGCTAAAGCATACAATTCAATCTTTTAATTCATTTATATTTTAAAGTTGATGACATGACAACAATAACAGTTTGCAGCATGCTTCTAAATTTTATATTAACAAAAAAGACTTACATGATTTTACCTATTCAAAGTACTAAACTAATATTTTAAGACCTGATGTTTTGACATACTTGAGGATCAACACTCTTTTTATGTTGCTTCTTCCTTGACCTTAGAGAAGGTAAATTACAGATATAAATGGATTAATTTACTTTTCTACCAGAATAAAATACTTAAGATTTTCTCAAGCCTTGAACACGCTGAGTATTAAACATTACCATCCTTCATTTTCTCAAAGAAATTAATTGCAGGTTAAGTCTCCTCTCCTTTCATCATTCTAAAAAAGTATTTGTGAATACTATTATTTCTACTATAAATGAAAACTTAGACTAGTTTTTAGTGTCATATATTCTTTATTTAATAAAAATGTATTCATTCTTCCCTGAACTGAGACCACACACATCACGAAGAACAATGGTCTGAGAGAATACAAAAGAATTCTGAACAATATAGTACTGGAAAATGAGACAGGAATGCTTTTCTGAATATGGGTATGATTCAAACAGATAAGTGCAGATAAATCTACATGGATATTGCATCTGGTTCATCGAGTGGCTTATAATTTTGGAACTGTCACATGTCAGCAAATACATCAACGCTGGTAGAAAATCAAAAAGGAAGTATATTTCTGTTAAGTGCAATTGCTTCTAGCTCACGTAAGATAACCATTTTTAAAACAAAAAGTTTGCTTTTAAAAACAAATTATTTTTACTCATTACCATTAAGTCTTCTCTGAGTGAAGAGAACGGAGCACATAAAAAGAGCTCAACAAATATCTTAGAACGAATATGCATGTACATATTGCATGTATGTATGTGTGTGGATATAAATATTTATGTTTATGTATATATAATATATAAAACAGTCAAATGATTATAGTAATTCTTTTCATCATGTTTTGAAATTGATAATCATGTCAAACTCATGGAATCTCACTACAGTCAAAAGTCATGATAATTATATTTAAATTCATCTTTGAGAGGAGTTTTTACTTAAGCAGTCATTATCTTCTAGACAGGTAATGGACAGTATCTAAACATATGAGGTGTGCTTTATTTTTATATTGAGAAAAATTTTGTAACTATTTTGTTTCTTAAAATCCAAAACCAGAATATGACTACCAATTATCTGAGCGGGTAAGTAATATATTATGTCATGCACGACTATGACTTACTTAAAACAAAAATGGTGAATTGTAGGTGAATTGTAGGTAGGGGTGAGGATAGAAATCCAGTTTAATCAAGCTGTTATTGTTACTCTGAAGTAAATAACTGTTCACGTTTCAGACATCCTACCACGATTTTTAACTAAGCGCGAGCCCTAGAAATGAACCTTAGATTTTTTTTCTTTCTCTTTTCCTTCCTTCCCTTCTGCCTTCTGTCCTCCCTCCCTTCCTTCCATCTATTAGAACCATTCCCTTATAGCCTAATTTTAAAGTAAGTTTCTTGGTGTTCTATTTATAAGGTATCTCTAAAATGTAATACTCAAGCAAAATATCAGAATTTAAGTTAAAACTTTGCTATTACAATATTTTTACTCTAGAGATTGTTTTTGAAATAACTTCTTTTTAGGGGTTCCATTAAAAAATGTCCTTGCAAGTCTAGGTAATTTAAAAACTAGAAGTTTAGAAATAGATTAACATGGTTTACATTTGTAAGATATTAGTTATACATTCCTTCGGTTCATCAGAATATGGTATATTTCAGGCATTTATAAGGAGCTTCTTCTTCGGACAAAATTTTTCTCTTAGTGAGTTGCTAATGAAGTCTATACAACTACTTACTGTAAGTCAACATTTAAAAATTCAGATTTAGTTATAAAAAGGTCATGGAAATATATTTTTTAACTATATAAAAAGAGATGGTTCTGAATCAAAACATCAGTATAATGAATCACTAAATACGTCTAAGAACACTATTTAGACGTAATGATGTATGTTATAACGTAGCCTTTTAATTGTACAGTTTGTAAATTGTAAACTGAGTTTGCACATGTTCATGCGGTCAGTCAACATCAGTAACGGTGGTAAAATAGGTGGTAGATTCAGATTTTACTCCTTTAAGTACCGACGCATAACCGCACACCCGTCATCTTTTCGGGGTGGCGTGCACACGCGTGTGCCGGGGGACCCCGGTGCGGAGCCTGGGGGAGAGCGGCAGCCCAGGCGCGATCGGACGCCCGCACGTCCCCATGCCCCGGGCCGCCCGGGCGGGCGTCGGTGCGCTCCTCCTCCGCCTCCCGGGGTCTCGGGCAGGCAGCGCGGCCCCCGCTCCGCGCCCTCCGCCCGCGTTCACACTGTCGCCCCCGCCGCGGCCGCGGCGCTCGCTCCCCGGCCCACTTTCTCCGTTGCCATAAATATCTCCTCGCAGCGCCGCGGGTTTTGAGGGGGCTCCCAGCCTCGCTCGACTGTGACGGCCTCCGTCCCCTCACGAGAAAGCGAGGACGCTCACGACAGTGCCGGCGGCGAACACACGCCCGCAGACCCCCGCCGCCCCGCGGCTCCCCACGCCCCCCCGACGCCCG